CAGAATACATGGCAGATGCCATCCTTAATTCTGCCAAGTTCTCATCTAGAGCCATGGCTTCCAACATAACATCTCATCATCTCCTTTGGCTCCGCCACTGGCAAGCAGACATGAAGACGAAGTGGCGCCTCGCAGCGGCCCCCTTCAAGGGTGGCAATCTTTTTGGTGAAGCATTGGACCCCATATTGGTGGAAGGTAGGGACAAGAAAAAGATTCTCCCCTTTTCTTCCAGGCGCTCAAACAGACGCTCTGCCTTTCCTTACCGTAGGCAGACCTTTCGGCCAACAGACCCAGGTTTCCATTCTCCGGCCCCTTCCCATTCATTCAACCCTACGGCCGACAGATTTCAGGACAGATAACAATTCAGGGACCGCAACCGTCAGACCCAATCCAAGCGGCCCTTTCGGGGTTCCACCTTTCGCCCCTATCGCAGAAAGTGAAACTCATAGCTTCCGGACTGCATTGGTGGTCGTCTGGCCCTCTTTGCCCATAACTGGCGTTCCACGACCACCGATGCTTGGGCCATACAGACAGTTTCCCTAGGTGTCACCTTAGAATTTGTTTCCACACCCCCTCGATGATTTATCAGGAGTTCTACTTCTTCTGACCCGGCCAAAAGGTCTGCAATGGACGCCGAGATCCAACACCTCCTTTCAATTCGAGCCATTGAACTGGTTCCTCCAGAACATCGCGGAACTTAGTTCAGAAAAAATTGGGGGGTAACAGGGCCATTTTGGACTTGAAGGCCTGAACATTTACATCAAATATAGGCATTTCAAGATGTATTCCCTACATCCTGGCAGGCATTAGAATTGGAGACAATCTGGCACCCATAGATCTGCGGGAAGCCTATCTACATGTTCCCATTTGACCATCCCACAGACGGTTCCTCAGGTTTTGTTACGGGGGGGGGGCATTTCCAAAGGGCTTTTCCCTTTGGACTCTCCTCCACCCCCTGTATTTTTACTAAGCTTCTCGATGTGGTGTCAGCACATTTGCGGGCCTCACCCATCAGAGTTCAATGCTATCTCGATGATATTCTTATTCATCATTTCAACAGGCTCATTTGGATCTTCAAGCCACCATCGATGCTCTTCACCTTCACGGGTTCACCGTGAATTGGGAAAAGAGCCAGCTGTTACCGTCCACCGATCTGGTTCATCTGGGAGTGCGCATAGACACAAAAGCGGGCCTCGTGTTCCTATCACAGGAACACCAGGACAACATCAGGGCCACAGTGACACAGGTCAGATCACTCCACAGAGTTCTTCTTCTCCTCCTCTCCCAACTGCTCGGCCAAATGATTTCCTGCCTCTCAATCGTCCCTTGGGCAAGGCTCCACTCCCATTCACTCAGTGGCTCCTCCTTCCCAGCCAGAAGGCGGGCATCAGCAATTCCACCTTCTGCATCAGGGTTCCTTGGAAGGTTGTCTCTTCTCTCAAATGGTGGACATCCATGGCCCTAAAAAAAGGGCCCTCCTTCCTTGATCCACAGCGACTGATCCTGACAACGGACGCCAGCCTGTTCGGCTGGGGTGCGCACTTCAACGATCGGATCATCCAGGGTCATTGGATGCCAGTGGATCTTCGACACGACATCAACTGGCTGGAACTACAAGCGGCCCATTTAGCCCTACGGCACTTCCATCACCAACTCTCCGGTCAGCACATTTTACTCAGGATGGACAACGTCACCACCAAGGCCCATGTCAGCCATCAGGGCGGGACACGGTCCAGGACCCTCATGACCGAGGCTGCGGAGCTGGGAGCTTGGGCAGAGAGGCACCTTCTTTCCCTACAGGCGGAACATATTGCAGGCTCCTCGAACCTTCAAGCGGACTGGCTGAGCAGGACAGCCATTGACCCAGCAGAGTGGCCGATCTATTCCGTCAGCTGGTATTCCACTTCGGCCAACCTCAAATGGATCTGTTTGCCACTCTGACCAATACCCAGGTGCCTCGATTTATCTCCAGGTACTGTAATCCTCAGGCGGAGGGAACCAACGCCATCCGCTGCAAATGGCCGCCCGGCCTTCTCTACGCATTTCCTCCGATTCCTCTCATTCCTCGGGTCATCCGGAAGATTCTGGAAGAGAAAGCAGAGGTCATCCTCATTGCCCCATATTGGCCCCGTTGCCCCTGGTTCACGGATCTCAGGGAGCTTTCGAATTCACCTTGGCGAATTCCCTCGGATCAAGTATGTCTCATTCAAGGGGCAGTCCACCATCCAGAACCCCAGTGGTTACAACTAACCACCTGGCTGTTGAACAGCAGATCCTGAAGGACGAACACTTTTCTTCCGAGATAATTTCCACTATGCTTGCTTCCCGCAGAAAATCCACCATTCGGATTTATGATGCTACCTGGTCTTCTTTTTGTAGATGGTTCTAACACAGAACCAGCTCACGCTTCCGTTCCACACATATTGGAATTCCTCCAGGCGGGTCTCAAGGGCGGCCTTGCAGTCAACACTCTGCGACGGCAGGTTTCAGCCTTGGCGACGATTATTCCCTGCTGGAAACCAGTTCATTGTCTCATCACCCACGTGTTCGTGGTTTTCTCAGAGGGACGTTAAATCTCCAATCTCCCACAGTCCACAGATTCCCTTCCTGGGACCTCAGCCTCGTCCTGCAGGTACTTATGGATTCCCCCTTCGAACCCCTATCCTCCGTCTGCCTGAAGTTTCTCACCTTTAAAGTAGCCTTCCTTATCGCAGTTACGTCCACTCGTCGCGTTGGTGAATTGGCAGCCCTATCCACGTGAGGGGACTTGTGCATCTTCCATCCTGATCGAGTGATCCTATGACTGGACTCTACCTTCCTCCCAAAAATCAATTCATGGTTCTACAGAACTCAGGAGATTGTACTACCCGATTTTTGCCCTAACCTGGTCCATCCCACTGAACGATGTTGGCACTCCCTGGATGTATAATGGGCTCTCAAAAGCTATCTCCATAGGACAGCCTCCTTCCACAAAACAGAATCATTGTTCGTGTCTTTCCAACCCACCTCTCTCGGATCACGAGTTTCCTCTTCCATCATCTCCTGTTGGCTTAAAACGTGCATCGCATTGGCCTATGAACGCAGGAACAAGGTGTTCCCTGGCCGTATCACAGTGCATTTGACACGCAGTGCTGCTACCACCGTGGCTTGGGCCACACAGGCGTCCCTTCTGGAGATCTGCAAGGCCGCAAGGTGGAGTTCCCCGACATCCTTCATCCGGCATTACAAAATAGATAAATTTGCCTCGGCCGAGACTGCCTTTGGTCGTAGAGTCCTTCAGCAGGTCCTCGATCCTGTAGATCCGTTTGCCTCCTCTTCTTCTTCCTGCCTTAGGGATAGTTAGCTTGGGTATATCCCAGTCAATGGACTCTCTAAACAGCGCAAGGGAGAATGAACATTGGACTTACCTGAAGGTTCCTTCTCCTTGCGCTGTGTGAGAGTCCATACCCTCCCTATTGTCATTCCTTCTTTGCCTATCCTTTTTTCTCTCTTCCCCTTTCGCTCAAGTCATTTGGTTCTTAGGATCCAGACTTCGCCGGCGAACTGGGGACAAGCAGGAAGAGGAGGCGTGTTTATTCAAATTATTGCTCAGTCATGGACCAATCAGGCAAGATATAGCCCAGTCAATGGACTCTCACACAGCGGAAGGAGAAGGAACCTTCAGATAAGTCCAGTGTTCATTTTTGTCCACCTTGAATCCTTTCTAAAAACCTGTCACAGATGTGTGAAAGGTATCATCACAGAATGTAAGTTGTTCCAAGTAAAGCTGCCTTTGCAATTGACTGGTGGTGATTTTGTCAATGCTGATGATGTTCAAATGGTGCTCCAGATGTTTTGGAATTGCACACAAGGAGCTTCTTACTATCGGCACTATCTTTGCTTTCTTTCACGAATGAAGGCGAATATACAAGTCTCAGGATAATGTTGCAGGATCCAATCTGGGTCGGTCACTGGAACCAGAGGTTTTGTCTTCCGAACTTTTGAACTTGTGATTGAGCCCATCTTCAGGGAACATCTGCTTTCTTTTTCCACAGTTGTCCAATTTCTATTTTCAGGTCTTTGTATTTTGTGATTTTCTCCAGTTTTCTATTCTGTGGTCTCCAGATACCACAGTGTCCACTATCTAGACTTTTTTGTCTCTCTTGTCAACAGTTGTTAAGTCTGAAGTATTATGTGGCAGATACTTGTCTCTTTAAAGTCCCAAAGCACTTTAGCTTTTTCATAGCGGCCCATTCCAAAACATGCTGGGTACTTACAGGATACCATGTACAGCTAAAACAGTCAAAAACATATCAAAATATAACATAATAGTCTGGACAAGAATACAATCATAACACTCAAAAGAACATTATAGCAGCTCTACAGAGATACTATTCTCTGACCTCACAATAAAGTCAGGAAGATACAGGAAGATTATCTGTATCTTTTGGAGGGAAGCTCTTCTAGAGGGCAGGACTACAGGTAGTCTTCGACTTATGAAATAATTGAGCACCAAATTTCTGTTGCTCAATAAGTTGCTGAGTCAATTTTCTTCATTTTATGATCTTTCTTGCTAGAGTTAAGTGAATCATTGTAGTTGTTAAATTAGTAATATGTTTGTTAAGTGAATCTGGCTTCCCTGTTGACTTTGCTTGTTAGAAGGTTACAAAAGTGATAACGGGACTCTGGGACACTGCAGTCATCATAAATATTGGTCAGTTGCCAAGCATCTGAATTTTGATCACTTGACCAGGGGATGCTGTAACAATCACAAGTGTGAAAATCTGTCATAAGTCACTTTTTTCAATGTTGTAACTTTGAACAGTCACTAAATTAACTGTTGTAAGTTGAGGACTACTTTATAGTACAGGAGGCATTTTCCTCAGTCCCACAAAATTACCATGTTTAGTTGAGGGTACCTAGAGCATATCTATTCTACCTGAATATATTGTTTGGGAAAAAAACAATTGGAAACAGGCAGGATAGATAATTATGTGTTCCTTTTGTTTTACCTTCATCAGCTAAAATGAATAACCAGCAGGAAAAGTCACAGAAGAAAAATGCAATCTTAGTTGATGGAGTTATTTTAAATGGCCCAGTAGCAGATTCAAAATCAGGCGAGAAATTTGTGGAAGAGGTCAATAAGATAATAATGGAAGAAGTGGTAAAGAAAGCATCTGATGCAACTGAAAAGGTAAAAATCTTTGATGTAATTGGAGTAATGTAATTAGATAACTGAAACTAATTATCTAAATCAATGTTTCTCAACCTGAGCAACTTTAAGAGATCTGGACTTCAACTCCCAGAATTCCCCAGCTAGAGTTGAAGTCCAGACTTCTTAAAGTTGCTCAGGTTGAAAAACACTGATCTAAATAAAAAAAGCAAATTATTAACTCAGTAATCATATTAAGAAATGTGTTTTTATGTACAAAGTGCATTGCTACTGATAAATGTAAGAACACTTTTGATATAATACTCATAAATGTAGTGCATTTTTAATAACTAGAAATGTTTTCCATATCATGCCTTTACTTCTTAATTTCTTGGATTTAGTAGTAGAGGAACTTAAAATTCAAATATGTTGTTTGTAATCTTCCATGTTTGTGCTTAAATTATTTGTAAATCTAAAACATTTTGTAAAAACTATAAAAAAGTTTCTCAGATATATTGAAATTCTAGATTACTTAAACAACTAAAACCAGATAATTTTTTAAAAATTGAATTTACCAGAGGATTTTGCAAATTATTTAGGATACAGCCTGATTAACTTTTAAATTCTCTCATCATCAACATTTCTTTCCAATGACTTTATGCAGGTGTGTGAATGGCAATCTCCTGAGCAACTGAGAACACTTCTTGACTTGGAATTGAAAGACACAGGAGAGAGTCATCCCAAACTCTTGCAGTTATGCCAAGATGTTATACAATTCAGCGTCAAAACCTGTATGAATTTCATATTTACAATTGCTTTTTGTCCTTCCAATTGCAATGCAAGACTGCTCTTGCTTTTATTTATTTAGAAAAAAGTAACAATTTGGCTTTTCTAGCCAAATACAGAAGTTGAAATGAAAAAGAATTGTACGTCTACATAAAAGGCTACTTCAGATGTATTTTCATAATTTCATTTAAATGAACTGGACCTTTATTAATATCTACCATTCCTTTTCTTACAGTTCTGATTTAACATTCTGGTGACTGTTAAATCAGAATCTTATTTCAGATGTAACAATACTCATTTTAAATGAAATAAAATCTTCATGTTGAAGTTTTTGTGCTGAGAGAGAAAGAAGGATAAAATAAAATCTAAATACTCCTTCCTAGTTTCATAAATACTTAAGAAACTTGGGAGTTTACATCTGAAATGGACTACTGAGCTGATCTAAAATTATTCAACCTTCGTGGTGATTGCTGATGCATTTTCTGTCTCTGTTGCCCCTGTTACAATAATATAAAGCATTATTCATTGCATGAATGGAAGTACTACTGTAATGAAAAAAAAATAGTGGTTGGTGATAATGGTGACCCAAAGAATGTTGAGAATTAATAAAAGTCACTTGCAAATGAATAATAAATAAGTTAATAAATAAAACTAGTTTATCATAAGTGAACTTTTTAAACATAGTGTGGAAATCTGGGCATGATTGTGACAAAGTGTGAATGTCTCCCTGGGAGAGGAATGAATTGACTATGGTAATTGAAAAAGACAATTTGGAACATATAGTGGCATTTTCAACAAAACATTTTACTGCTTATCTTCAAGCTCTGTTGAAGAGCTATATGAGTGCATTTTATTAGTTTTTTAAAATTGAGTTTAGTGTCTACCTATGATTTGTTTTATTTAAAATTGTTTCCAACCTCCTTATTTTACATAATCCTAGACAGAATTATGTCCTGTCATTGAAATATATCCAAGGTCATTGAAATATATGTGCTAAAAATGTAATCAGGGTTGGAAATTCTAAGTATAAAATTTAGGAAGCAAGAAGAAAAGGGGCCTGGAACCTAGTTACAAACAGAGAGCAGACAGCAGACAGAGAGACTTCTGGTTGGCGTCGCTGGGACACAGACAGGGAAATGGCAAGCTCCGCTGAGCCCTGCCAAATCCCCTCTGCTAAGCTGCCGCCGATAGGTCTGCGGACCTCCTCTGTCTTGTAGGGAGAGGGGGACAAGAAGGAACGCCTTGGGCGGCCGAGAGGAACGGGTGGGTTCCTCGGGGCCGGAGGCTTCTCCTTCACACCGGCGGCAGCGGGATGGCAGCCATTGTGGCTGCCCTGAAACTGCGGCAACCGGGAACAAGGATTGTGCTGGAGGAAGAAGATGAAGAAAGAGCAAAAATCAAGAAGCCGGGTGAGTGACACCAACCCAGGCAATAACGTACCTATTTGGAATTATTGGAAAATAAGACCCCAAAATTAAAAGCAGCTGTTGGACTGTGGGGCTTAAAGATTGAAAAGGAAAAAAAAATGGGTAAAAGACCCAAATTGAATTTTGTTCCAGTAAATTTAAACTGGATGATTTGGTATTAATAAATTTCTGAAATTTGACTGTGCCTTTAACTGGAGTGGAGAGGAGAAATAGATATTCCTGAGAATTAATGCCTCTAAAAGAAAATGAAGCTAATGAAGATAGAGAAATAGCCATGGAGTCTGCAGTGATTAAACAGAGAAGTGGATTAAAGAGATTTCCCTTTCTGGGTGGAAAAGAAACATGTTAATTGGCTTTTTACCTTGGATTACTTGAAATTAATATTGGATATAAGAATTTTGGAGATTCCTACTCTGTCCCAGATGATTTTAAGAAAGAAGAAAGAAAGAACATTTTGGATTTTAACAATGGAGACTGACAAAACTAGGTGTGGCGTAGTTAACAAAGACAGGAAGCTGATGCATTATGCTTGGATTAGACATTTTAAAAGTTTTAAAGGGACATACAGAAATTCTTTACTTTGAACTGATGAACCTTGAAATAGAGCACTTTGGACAGAGAGGAAAAGGAAGAAAAGGAAGAATTAAAGTGGATAAATTTAAATGTGACTAACTGAAATGTAAAGTTTAAAAGCCTATGTATATATGATAAAGTTTAAAAGCCTAGGCATATATGATTTTTGGATAAAAACAGGAAGGGTTGTGAAATAATAAAAATAGAAAATGAGAGGTGGCTATTAAAATAGTGGATGATAACAAGGGGATAAAAATAATAAAAAATGTACTGTTTGATGCAATATGTTTTAATTTTAACTTGCAAACAAATGTTAAACTGAGGATTGATTGAACAAAATACAAGATATACATGGTAGTGATTGAATTAAGGTAATACAAGTTGGAAATGATGACTATTATGACATATACTGAGATTTAAATTGAAAGAGCAGGATGGAAAAATGATATAAAACAGATAATTATATTACAGTTAAAATGTGTGGGATGGATGCCAACTAGATAAGAGTTTGAGACTCGGTGGAAATACGTTGGAAATTAATTCAAAATGCTGGAAACAGCCAAACAAATAGGAGGAGAGTTGGAGGAGACTATGCTGGTAATCAGCCAAACAATGGAGGGAGTCAAGGAGGAGACTATGCTGGAAATCAGCCCATAAAATGCTGGAAACAGCCAAACAAATAGGAGGAGAGTTGGAGGAGACTATGCTGGAAATCAGCCAAACAATGGAGGGAGTTAAGGAGGAGACTATGCTGGAAATCAGCCCACAAAATGCTGGAAACAGTCAAACAAATAGGAGGAGAGTTGGAGGAGATTGAGGAACTATTCTAAAATCAACTAATAGTTGGTGTTTTGGAGGGGATCAAGCTGAGAATTAATCAAATAGAATAAGATGGAAGATAGTTAAATATTAGAGGGAGATATAGTGGAAAATATATTAGAAAATGGATTAAATAAAATATGCCTTTGAGAGAAATCTGTATAATATGTAAACTGGGAGGAAAAAAAAAACCTAAGGTAAACTGATTTGAGGATAAGGGTCAAAGGATTAAAATTAGATAAAATGTTGTTTTATAAAATACAATAAAAATGGAGTGGTATTGAATTGAAACTAAGAATAAATGGTGATAAAATTGTAAGGTAAACACTTAATAAGAGGTTAGAATATTGTAAAAATTATTTTGATATGACTTGTATAAGATATAAGGTAAAGAAGAATAAAGATATGTTTAGAATTGTTATGCAGATGTAAAAATGAGTGAAAGTGAATTTGAAACTAATTTTGGATAGATATAATGGATTTATATAGATGAAAATGTGAAATTTGAGGTAAAATTGTTTTTTTTTCTTAAGTTTTGAATTTCTTTTTTATCTTCTTTTTTTTTCTTTTTTTGTTTACTTATAAAAGATGTAATGGAAATTGTGAATTGAGCTTGTGAAAGGAATGTAAGCGTGGTAACCATCTATGACCGGATTGAGATTTTTGCTCTTGAAAGTTATGTTTTTATGTTTAAATTTGAAAAAATAAATAAAAAATATTTACAAAAAAAAAAAAAAAAACAGGCTATCAGACAGATCAAAGATGTAATAGGATAGTAAGATTTTGAGACCATTGGAAACAAGTATACTTTTTAGTATTTATAGTATTTAGTATAGTATTTTAACTATACTAGATAATCTCCCTTTTTATGCTTTATATTTATACAGTATACATGGATATAATTTGAAATACATTGGGAATCTATACAATATAAAATGTTTACAGAATAGAGATCTTTCCAAATAGCCCCTTAGATTTCTGATTGCAGTTATTAATCAGCCCATACAGACAATATTCAACATTCTTTCCATGTTTTTCGATTTTGGTTTAATAGCTTAGGGGGGACTCAGACACTGTGACTTGTAATCCACAAGCCTATAGCTTAGTGCAGTATATAAGTATCAGGCATTGGTGCCATATTCAATAATCTGTGTTTGAATCATGGCTGAGTATAATGCAGAAATCCTGCTATTATATAAATTGCAAATTGGGTTTCACTAATACATGTCACTTTAGTTGTCAGAATCTGTAAGCATCTTAAGAGTTACAGTCTGAGACCAGGAGATTTTAATACCTATGATTAGCAGCCCATTAAATAAGAATCAAAGTACTATCTTCAAAACAATGTTTATTTTAGTAAATAATGCGAGTGATCAAAAGGTTAATTACCTTTTTGGAAAATATGGCTAGCTAATGAGAATTCACAGCAATTTTCTGAAGATAATAAGACTACTAAAGAATGTTATTAATCAACATTCATATAAAAGGAGCACTTAATTATATAGCTGTTTAGAAGCCACTTTTATAAGAACATTGACTAATAATTCCTTTATCACTTAGCTTAACACATCTATAAGTAAACTTTAAACAACTTTACTTTTTTTTACTGAAAAAAAATGTCCAGCCAGAGCACCCATTAACGTTACACTATTTATTAATTTATGAAAGATTCAGAGATAACATTTCCAAATCTATACTGTATTTTTGTTCAGGTGACTCAAAATAGATAGTCTGGAATCTGTTTTATCTGAACAATTACTTATAGCTTTTTCTGAGGCCATTTTATCTATTGTGTAAAGCCTTTAAGCAATCTCTGTGTAATATAACCTATTTTAATTGCTTATTCCCTAAATGTCTTGAAAAAGACAAAAAATAGGAATTATAGGAAAGTCAAATTCAAATCTTTTGTGATATTGTTTATTAAATGATGACCATTTATACATCTCTTAATATATTTCTGGAAGGGCTAACACTATTAAATTAAATGAATTAAAACTGCAAATTTTAAATAGGTAATTTGAGCACCATACTTCTTGTACTAAATACATCTGGCTACGTAATTAAAATCTTATCAAATAGTCTTATACTTTATTGCATTATCAAATATAAAGTTGAAAAGAATAAAATCAGAAAATAAATATCTTAGGAAACATTCTCCCTTTAACAAGAGGAAGCTCAAATTGTAGTAGATACAAGAAGAATCAATCTCAAGTTCAAGTTTCTCTGTGCTTTTCACTGATTCCCTTTCCTCCTTTTGCTAGCAAGATTTACATTGGATTAAAAAAATCTGACTGCAAACACCTATAATGGAGAAGTTCTGAGGCTGGGTTCATGGATCACATCTAAACCACTACATTTTTTTAATTGATTGCTCTAATGTATGAGCTCTGCAACTACACCTAAGCTGAATGTGTGAATTGGACTACTTTATCTTTTTCAATGACCATTAATGCTAATCAGATATATGTCTTTGTCATCATTATTTACAGATCACCCAAGATTTTTTAATCAGCTCTATGCTGGTATTGATTATTACTCTTTAGCAGCGCGTTTCATTACGGAGGCATTAAACCCAAGTGTGTAAGTGTATTTTGTTTTAAATCATGGTGCTGAATTTGCAGTGCTGTTTAATGGTGGCAGATCCTATTTCCTTTAAATTTCTATTAATAACATTGATAGGGTGCATATTACAGATACTGGGTGAATTGATCTATTAACTCCCTAGAGAGCCTAAATTAAAGTTATAGAAGATTCTTGGAGAATCTGTCACCCAGGATGGCTGCATGCAGCCATGGGCCAGATCTAACCACATTGTGAACCAGATCTGGCCTGCAAGCCTTGAGTTTGACATATCTGCTCTACATGGTAAATGAAATGAAATACAAAATTTAGATTTTTTAAAAAAATTCTGTGTTTTTATTGTTCCACGTTAATGCTATTTGCAGCATATAACAACATTGGTCAGATCAGGAATATGTAGATATTTTGTCTACCCCTGGGTCTACAATATTGGATGGTGAGGGTGAGGGAAAATGGGTTGAGACATTGCAAGGCCAGATTGTATATTAAGATCAATGTAATGATACTGGTATTCTGTGGAGCATAACAAATTAACAGGAATTAGATTCCAGATTCTGAAGGAATTGAAATAAAGGGCATACTTGATTAAAATGGGTGAAGAATCAGTTAATTACATCCAGCCTCTATTATGAACTTGGGAAATGAAGTGATAGGACTTGGTATTTAAAATTATCAAGACAGACTAGAGTGATTTATATCTTGTTAAAATTTTATGTCACCAATGTCTTTCAAATCTATTACAAAAATCTGGGCTGCACTGCAGAGTAGGAAAGAATCATTATATACTCATATTCATGCTATCTGCTAATTTTCATTTTCATTTCATACATTTGATAAAACTAAACTAAGTAAACAGTTTCATGTCACATTTTTGTTCATTCAGATATACCTATGAAATTTCTCCAGTATTTTTACTAGTGGAAGAAGCAGTGCTAAAGAAAATGATTGAATATATTGGATGGGAAGGAGGAGATGGTATATTTAATCCAGGTATGATGTTCCTTAATGTAAAAAATATGACATTGTCTGCATAACAACTATATAATTTATACAAGTATGGAAGCATCATGTCTTGTTGCTTCTCGACCACCCTGTTGCTTATAGTTGGTGACTTTTTATACATGTAGTTAACAAGTTAGGATCAGGTTACAATAGAGATTGGAACCAGAATTGCCATTGGTAAGCAATGCAGTTGTAAAATGCAACATCATTTGCACTTAGTGATGGTAAGTGCAAGTGATGGGTAATCCCAGCTGTATCAGTTGCCATTGTAATGGGTCATTAAGCAGGAAGGGATAGAAGTGCCTGGTAAAGAATATGGAAGTGCACAAGGGTGTGGGGATGGGGATGGGAGGTTCCATGGGTGATGGTTGACTAGGAAAACTTCTGGCAGAGGCACTGCATGGGCAGTGGAGTGCTGTGGAGGGAGCTATTTTCTGGAGTGAATTTTGATTTTCTTGCTGACTCCTCCCACCCCCTATTGATTTTGCTTCCAATAGGGAAAGTCATATATAGATTATGTGACCATGGCTCCTTGCAAAGTCATAATCATGAGCTGGCATCCAAGCACCTGGATAGTGATCATATAACCATGGGGTGCTGACAGGACTAGAACTACAGGAGCTAGTCATACATCCATTTTTTTCAGCATCAATGTAACTTTGAATAGTTGCTGAATGAATGAAAGTCAAGGAATTCCTCTATTACAAAGTCCATTCTAGTTCTTTCAGTGTTATGCTGTCTGAGACATAGGTAAATATATATATATATTTTCACATAGGTAAATATATATATATATTCACAGAACCAGGGCTGTATAACATCTTAGCTTACGTAGGTAAAACCTGGCTAGAAAGAATATGCATGTGTGTGTGTGTGTGTGTGTGTGTGTGTGTGTGTGTGTGTGTGTGTGTGTAGTTAATATTCCGGGTTTCTTCCCGTGTAATTGTGGATATATCCCTAAAAGGGTAGAAGTTAGTGCAAAATGACTGCTGACATAAGCCTGATGATGGCAGATGGGATTCTGCCGAAACGTCGCTTCTACCCTTTTAGGGATATATCCACAATTACACGGGAAGAAACCCAAAATATTAACTATACACACATACATACCCGTGAAAACTTACATAAACAAATATATATATATATATATATTTAATTTGATTTATATGCCACTCTTCCCTGGAGACTCAGGGCGGCTTACAATGCATTAAGCAATAGCCTTCATACTTTTGTATATTTATACAAAGTCAGCTTATTGCCCCCACAATCCGGGTCCTCATTTTACCTACCTTAGAAAGGATGGAAGGCTGAGACAACCTTGAGCCTGGTGAGATTTGAACTTGCAATAATTGCAGGCAGCTGATGTTAATAACAGTGCTTTAGTCTGCTGTGCCACCAGGGCTCCTTGTATTATGCTTGTATCCAAATGAGTTCCTCAATATGCAAGAAGCACTTACAGCCATACAGCATTTACAGCCGGATACTTGTAAATATACAGTTTAGAATCTGAAATATTTATTAATATATGCAATATTTTTTAAGGTGGCTCTGTTTCCAATATGTATGCAATGAACTTGGCAAGATATAAATATTTTCCTGACATAAAAGAAAAAGGCCTTTCAGGGATACCTCAATTGGTTCTGTTTACATCAGAAGAGGTAATTAACTTTTCTTACAATCTTTCTAGTACAGCTCTTTTGAGAAGGAAAATATGCATAAAAGGTTGCAAAAAGAACCAGGATATATGTATGCAGACATAAAATCAAAACTCCCAGAATCTTGGAATATGCTGGGCAGGTAGTCCATGCATCTTAAAGTTGCTGAGTTCTTCAAGTTGTTCTCTAACAATACAGTTTTAATGAAGAAACCAGTTCATTGTTGTTTTTTTACAGAATACCAAGTTGCTACTTTAAGTGAAGGCAGGCTAATTTCAACTCTTGTTACAATTTTTTTTAAAAAGAAAAGAAATAAATAGATACCTAGGTTTTTCAGAGCGCTTTAACTCCCCTTTTTGTTCCTTTTATGATCTTGGCTGACTTTACTCAGGATCAGACATAATAACAAACAGTGTTATGTGGTTACAAAAATGCCAGCATAAGAAAGGGTTAACTGCCCTCCCTTTTCTTCTCTCTCTCTGTCTTTTTTGCTTGCCTGTCTCATGCATATGAGATTAGAAGTGCCCATTTTCATTTTTCCCTAATTACATTTTCCCTTTATATTTGGAGTAAGTGGTGTCTTTTAAAGAAAAAAAAAGAATCCTGAAAAGTTCAGTTCTCTTCCAAGATTTGTGATTCAGTGGCTTGACTTTATGTCACCGTAGTTTTTGCTGATCTCTTATTATCTGAGTCTAAAGAGGTTTGCCATTTTACAAGGAATCCAGTTTCATACTTTTTTCAGCTGAGCTTAATATGTGAATGTTAGAGAACTAATAAAAAGCTATTTTGTAAAAATCACGTGCAGTTCAAATGAAACTCTGATGCCAGAATCCAAATCTCTGCTGAGTACACTTGGCCCTCTGCAGGCTTATTTCATTATTGATGTAATTCAGTAACAGAAGATTAATTATCTACCTATGTATGTTATTCACAGAATAGCCCAAGTTAATGAATTCCACAGGCTTTCTGTTAAATTAGAAATGATTGGCTGATGGTAGCTGATGGTATATTTATGCACTTAATTAAAAATAAGGGAAAAAACTTTCTTGTCCAAAAAGGAAGACCCACCATGAGTTGATTCATCTCATTAAAAAAATGAGGCACTCTGAATAACTTTAATATAATATATTCATAGCCACATATTGAAGTGCTGAAGAAAACTGAATTAATTAACCACCTGGTTTCACTTACTGTATGCAAAGAAACAATTTAAGACTTTGTTCACCATGGCTGGCAAATATATTAACCCTTAAATAACTAAAGATTTGCTCTATTTCCTCTGTTTTTAAAGAGGCAGATTTATTGTTCTATTGAAAGGATCTCAAGTCTCATAGACTTTGGGGATCATTCGGGAACTCTGTGAACTTCTGTAGACTTTTTTGGGATTCATCACTGAGTCGAAGATAACTATGGACATGCAACTTTTGTGCACTATTTTATTAATGTGAAAGTTGTAAATACAGGGCATTTCAGGTGTTCTGTTTTTCTAGTTGTTTTAAACTTGAACCCAATTTCTCCAAGGAATGCAATATAGATTAACCTAAAAGTTTTATATTTATATTCATTCAATATGAGAGCCAATGTAAAACACAGAATCATTTTGTTTGGTAGTCTTGCTTGATGAAGCACATATAATTTAGTGACAAAGCATGAAGGCACAGAATCAGTAATATGATTAAGCTTCTGGACCATTTGGATGTTGCTGTTCCTTGCTTTTATTCTGAATGCCTGTGAGGAAAAGAGCCCACTAATTTTGAGTATTTCTACCTTTGAAATACTATATAGATGGTAAATTCCATATGTTCTTTTTTATTTACATGCTATTCTTATTTAATATAAAAATATGTGTGCATGTTTTCATGAAAAAAGGGAAATTTTATATCCCACTGATTGAAAAATGAAGAAAAAAAAACAGGTTTTGGCCAATATGTTCTTGTGGTTACATTGAGGAATAAGAACTACTTTTCAGAATCAGGAGCATCACCTTAAAATGATAAGAAAGGCTTTGGGTCTGATAGAAGCTCATGAGCAGGAAGAAATAAAAATTATTTTATTTGTCTTAAAGATTTGATTTAAAAAACTTTCTAATATTTCATGATAAGCCTTTCAATAACTATTAAGAATAGTCTTAGCTTTTTCATGAGATTTACCACATCATATGTCTGTGAAGAGGATCCTTTGTCAGTTTTTTTATTGACTTGTAGAAAATATATTTAAAATCATTCCAGGCTTCTTCTTTTTTTTGAGGCATAGCTGGTTAATGTTTTTGTTGCTTCAGTACATATACTCCTTCATCAGAAAACATTTTCTCCAGAAAGAGTAATTTGCTGGCTGAAGAAAAAGGAAGAATGGATCAAGAGAGAGATTAAGTTATTTAAACAAATCCACACCAGAGGCACTATTCCAATGCTAGTGCAGTATTAGATCTGCTTATGACTGATTTTATTAATTACCAAAACATTCCCTAAATTCCTATCCTCTTGAATGTTTTCTAAAATTAATTGACTTCAATATTTTAGCTATTTCAGCCAACTTAGTATTAACTCAGCTGCTTACTGACTAGTTTGTCTTTTCAAATTACTTGATTTTGATAGTTTTTTGAAATAAGACTAAATAATTCAAATAAAATCCACTGTGATATTTCTAATTGAAAATATTTCTACAAACATATTTAGAAAGTCTGTCATGAACCCAGAATACCTTATCAATGACAGTGATATAATATCTGTAGTCATTAGAAGACTTGACAAAATCAGCAATGGGCTGCTTTAATATTTGCCACCTAATCAGATTAAATGTTGAGAAAAAAAATAGAAGGAAATCATTAAGATATAAAGGTAATAATAATAAACAGAATTTTCATTCAACGTGACTATTTTTCACATAAACTTGCTTTTTTACATAGTGTCACTACTCAGTGAAGAAGGCAGCTTCCTTTTTGGGAATTGGCACACAAAATGTTTACTTTGTCAAAAGTGATGACAGGTAAGGATTCTAGCACATTGAAGTGATCCAATCCATTTGACAGTGCAGTATTGCTGTAAACAATTAACCTGTTGAACATAACTGAAAAGTTTTACATCTGTGTCCCATAGAGGTAAAATGATTCCTGAGGAACTGGAGAAACAAGTCCAGCATGCAAGGAATGAGGTGAGAAGGGGAGAGTGTATAAGAGTCTATATGTGAATTTTGAGAATGGTAAACCTTTGGACACTTTGCTTGGGCAGAAAAGGGTAGTAAATGTAAGTTAAAGCAGAACAGTACACATGGGACAATATTTTCAGTCTACAGATTGGTCAGTGGGGCTGCACATACAATCTAGAGCTTTGATTTGTTTTGAAGTATCCCTTCAAAATTGCTCCACTACATAATGCAACCTTCTTCCCTCTTTTACATAGTCAAAATGTTTTACATTGTATCATTCAACACTTTTAATAGCTGAAAAGGTTGAAGAAGGAGGCTTTATCAGCAGTATATAATGCTTTAACAATACAGCTTGAATTGTTGCTATAGTATGCCTTGTCAAGGTGAAGCATCTTTACTTTGCACAGATCTGTTGCAGTAACTCACATTTTTAAAGGCTTTGATTTGCAGGGGATCAAAAAGCTGGGTATGTTTACAGTATGGCAGACGCTTTAGAACATCAAAGATCCTTATGTTCTACCTCTATGACTACTGTCCATCCTGGTTCATTTTTGAGGTCTTTTGATGTTAGAAAACTATAGGAAGAAAGTATAGGTTCTTCCTTTAGCTTTATATTTTATTGTACTCTATAATGATAAGGGGAAGTGACCTTGAATTATTCTAGTTCATCCCTTTCAGACTTGATATTATTTTCTTATTTCAAAAGAGCCTCAAATTGGCATTGAAAATGGCCAATATTGCAGCTCTAGACTCTTCTCGTTGTTTATTTCACTGCCACTGTCAAAGATAAAGAATATGTCGCTGTAAAATAGTTGAGAATGTCTGCTTTAAAGGTGCTCATTATTTGATCAGAAATTTCATCCAATTTGAACAGATATTAGAAATAAGAAATAAAAGTACAACCTATCTATTTTTGAAAAGCAAGTCAGTTTTTCTGTCTTATGTTAAATAACTATTCATTCTATTAATTGTCTAAAGAAAATGTCAATAAAATGTTTACTTTAAATGAAAATATTTGCAGGGGTGTTCTGTGTTTTTTAAAAATAATAATCATCCATAGTGAAAATTAAGTTGAAATTGAAACTATAAGAAGTTGAAAGATTATTTTATCTCACTTGAGGGACTACAAAATAATTGGTTAATCTTATTTTATAAACACAATATCATACATACATAAAATTGCAATTAAAATGATTGTTATACATCTAGCACTCTGGCAAGTAATATTTATTGTGTTGCTTCATAGATTATAGGGAAGCCTGTATTTCTATAATTTCCACAAGGTAGCCATATGAAGGTGTCACAATAGAAACATTTGGAAGTCCCAAGATACTCTAAAAATGACATAATATCTATACTAATAGCCAGTTAGAAATATTATTTTTTATTTATTTTTCAATTTATATACCGCCCTTCTCCCTGAGGACTCAGGGCGGTGCACAGCCAGAATTAAAAACATGAAATACAAATATTAAAAACAATTAAAATCTATATAAATTTGGCCCAAAATTTAAAAAACCACAAACCAATTAAACATTTAAAAATTTTAAAAAAAATTCTTCCTAAGCCAGCCCGGCTTGCTGGAAAAAGTGGGTTTTAAGGGCACGGCGGAAGGCACTGAGGTCTTGGATTCTCCTTATCTCTGGGGGCAGCTGATTCCAGAGGGTAGGTGCCCCCACAGAGAAGGCTCTCCCCCTGGGGGTCACCAGCCTACATTGTTTGGCTGATGGCACCCTGAGGAGGCCCTCTCTGGGAGCACACAGGTCGCTGGGAGGTCGTCGGTAGCAGCAGGCGGTCTCGAAGATAGCTAGGCCCTATGCCATGGAGCGCTTTAAAGGTGATAACCAACACCTTGAAGCGCACCCGGAAGACCACCGGGAGCCAGGGCAGCTCGCGCAGGAGCGGTGTTACATGGGAGCGCCATGCTGCTCCCATCACTACCCACGCTGCTGCGTTCTGGACCAGCTGGAGCCTCCGGGTGCCCCTCAAGGGGAGCCCCATGTAGAGAGCATTGCAGTAGTCAAGGCGAGAGGTGACGAGGGCGTGAGTGACTGTGCACAGGGAATCCCGATCAAGAAAGGGCCGCAACTGGCGAATCAGGCGAACCTGATAAAAGGTCCCCCTGGTTACAGCCGTCAGATGTTCCTCCAAGGACAGCTGCATATCCAGGAGGACTCCCAGATTGCGAGCCCCTTCCGTGGGGGCCAAGGACTCGCCCCCAATAGTCAGTGATGGAGTCAACTGACTATATCGGGATGCCGGGAGCCACAGCCACTCAGTCTTGGATGGGTTGAGCTTGAGCCTGTTCCTCCCCATCCAGATCCGCACAGCCTCCAGGCACTGAGACATCACTTCAAGGGCCTGGGGTGGAGACGTACAGCTGGGTGTCATCAGCGTACTGATGGTATCTCACCCCGAAGCCACGGATGAACTCGCCCAGCGGCTTCACATAAATGTTGAACAGAAGGGGCGAGAGGACCGATCCCTGCGGCACTCCACAGACGAGAGGCCTCGAGGTCGACCTCTGCCCCCCTGCCAACACAAACTGCAACCGGTCGGAGAGAAAGGAGGAGAACCACCGCAATACGGTGCCTCCCACCCCCAACTCTTCCAGCCGGTGCAGCATGATACCATGGTTGATGGTATCAAAAGCCACTGAGAGGTCTAACAGGACCAGAACAGAGGAGCAACCGCTGTCCCGAGCCCTCCAGAGATCATCAACCAACGCGACCAATGCCGTTTCCGTGCTGTGCCCAGACCTGAAACCCGACTGGAACGGATCTAGATAAGATGTTTCCTCCAGGAATTGTGGAAACTGTTGCGCGACCACACTCTCAACAACCTTCGCCATGAAGCGAAGGTTGGAGACAGGACGATAGTTGGCCAATATTGCCGGATCCAGGGACGGCTTCTTGAGGAGAGGCCTCACCACCGCCTCTTTCAAGGCAGTGGGGAAATAACCCTCACTCAATGAAGCGTTGATAACACCCTGGAGCCAGCCTTGTGTAACCTCCCAGGAAGCCAGTACCAACCAGGAGGGACACGGGTCCAGTAAACATGTGACCGTACTAAGTCTCCCCAAAATCCTGTCCACATCATCGGGAGTCACAGCATCAAACTCCTCCCAGATAACATTCTCAAGACTATTCCTCGTCACCCTGCCCTGATCTACCCAGTCAGAGTCCAAATCCCCCCGGATCTGAGCGATTTTGTCATACAGGTATTGTCCGAAATCCTCCGCCCTGCCTTTCAGGGGATCCTCCCGCACTCCCGGATGGAGCAGGGAGCGGGTCACCCTAAACAGGGCGACCGGACGATAAGCATAAGAAATATATTGTCTTTAAAGATCTCAGAGTTTTGTAATCTGGAGAACTGAATACAATCACAGATCAGTTTCAAACTGCTTTAGGAAGCAAATATACAAGGCTGCTTTCATGTTTTTTTAAATTCATAAGAGATTAGTTTGACCTAACATGAAGTGTGGAGACAAGAAATGGAGTGGAATTTTCTAATACACAGGATGTCTTTTTTTCCCCATTGACATTATGTCAGTACCATTGAAGCATTTAAAAATATTCACCAGTGAAAATGAATCTGACAATTTTTTCAGCTAGCTTCAGGATTACAAGGTACAGGAAAAAGACAATTTTATAATACAAGTTTACTGTTCTCCTTATCTACTGCTAAAGTTAAGCTTTAAAAAGTCTATTTAAAGTTATATCAGAGCTGGAAGAATTCTGTTTAGTGTGATTTATGAAGGCATTCTGCTGATTTCAGAAGATACTATTTTGCATCTATGTTCAGTATTTAAGTTTGTAAATCAAAAGTTATTCTAATCAATAGTTCAGTGCAATGAAAACTTACAGATATTGTCTTGGGAGGATAATTTTCATTGATTTGATGTTTTTGCTTAAGGTTTTTGGAATGAGAACATATTATTTTATAGAAGTACCCGAGTGCAAGTCCTGAGTATTGCACATGCCTATGTCACAAACAAACTAAATAGTAAAAGACGTAAAGATAACATATGAATGAGGATAACATTGAAGTTAATTGAATAACACAGATTTAGAGTAATGTGGTAACAAACTCTAGAACATCAATAACAGGTATTCCTATCCTGAACTTGGTATTTGCAAGGATTAGAAGTTTGCTTATGGTTTTATCTATTTCGGGTCAGGTTTTCAGAACCCGGTGAACATTCACATTGATTTCATAAACCACTGTTTCTTCCCCTAACTTTCTTTTTCAAGACCACTTATTGTGCCAGTAACTGATAATGAATTCCTTCTGAATATGGATATAACTGCAGAGTCAACATGTTCTTTAGGTTCCATATACTACTTCTAATATATACAGTGGTTTGTAATGTGGGATTAAATTACCAATTACCTCTGATTCCTCTTTTGGATCAATTTCTTCCTTAAGAAACTCCCGTGGTATTATTTCAGGATTCAGTGAGACTGCATCCAGGGTTAAATGTGAAGTTTGTGTACTTCCAGTAATTACATTCACTCATTGCTCATTCTGTGGTCATTTTTCATCTACCCTTGCCCTTCCATATTGATAGTGATATACAGTAGGTGCTTGATTTGTTATTTATTTGTAAATAACAAATTTTTATTCCTTTTTAACAATTGCAAAGCTGTATGCAGTTCAATTAAGCTAAAAATAAACCACTTGGTTTTAAAACAATTACAATTAAAATTAGATAAGTCTACCAACTTCTCACACAAATAGAATCATATAATTGGAAAGAACTTTAGGTCATCAAATCCAACTCCATGGTCAGCACAGGAATTCAAATTAAAGTGTTCTCTGGCCTCCCCTTGAACCTAACTAGGCATTTCTTTCTCTCCTAATGTTTAGTCAGAATTTGCTTTCCTGTAATTTAAACCTGTTATCCCATGCCACGCATTCTGGAATGCTGGAAGGATACATGTGTGCACACATGTCAATCTGTATGTCAAAAAAAGCATCATGATCTTGTCTGTTTTAACTTCTCCCTTCAATGGATTCTGCTGTTGACTGTCTTCTGTGATAGAAGAACAGATATGAAAGTATTCTTCAGCCTCTTCAAGGCTAAATATTTCCAATGTCTTTAATCTTCTGGGGACTTCGTTTCTTAGTCCTGATCATTCTCATTGCATGTCTCTAAACATTTTCCAATTTTTCTAAATCCTTTTTAATGCGGGATTCCCAGAACTAGGCACAATATTTAGAATGAGCTTTGACTAATAGAGAATAAAAAGAAACTATAATTTCTTACTATCATTTACATTCTTAATTATAGTCCCATAATTACATATTAACCTATTGTTTATGCAGCCTAAAATTATATTGCTGTTTTAAAAATAATTTTCCCTGACAGACTCATATTTAGCTTGTAATAAATTACTGTTTCAAGATCTTTTTCAAATTTTATTACCAAGCTAATTTGACTCATTCTGTACCCATGCATTTGATTTTTATTTCCTAAGGCCACTTCTTTTTTCTATGAAGATTAATTTGAATTTTATTTCTGGTCAGCTAATTTTTGTGAGGTGTATTATTATTATTATTATGGTTTATTGTACTATCAATCAGATATTTAGATTGGATTTGGCATTTTTGTTCACTTACCAAGTCCTCCTCAAAGACCTGAATTAAGGTGTTATTTAATAATATAATAAATAAAAATATTATCACAAGATGTAAACTGTTCCAAGTAAAAGTATCTTTTTCAATTGACTGATGGTGATCTTTCAAAGCTGACAGTGTTCAAATGATGCTCAGGATGTTTGGAATTGCAATCAAGGCAGCTATTACTATCTTTGCTTTCTTTTGTCACAGTTCTACTTCTATTTTTATTCTATTCTTTCTGAGTACCATCCAAGATTCTTCCTGAATGGCAACTAATGTACTGTAACCTCTGGGAATATCATGGACAGTTTATGCCATAATCTTTCAACTTTAATTTTCAGATTGCGATATATTGTGATCTCCAATTTTATGTCTTCTATTCAACTAACTCCTGGTATTGCCACATCAATTATTCACGGTCTCTGATTTCCAACCACGGTCAAAACGGATGTGTTATGAGCCAAGATTTTATCAGTTTCTATTTGGAAATCTCATAATACTTTTAACTTGCTGTAGACTGTATTGGTTCCAATCTATTTAAATTCCATTTATTAACAATGCAGGAACCTAAAATGTCATAGTTATTTAATGTAGTTTAGCATTTGTCTTTTACAAGTAAATAATATCTCAATCTTTAAACCATAATTTCATTATTATTTTATTATGTCCTCTTTGAAAGGGCATGGTATTTTCATGCTGCAATTTGATTTTTGTTTTCTTTTGTTTTGTTTTGGGAATATTGATCAGGATGCAGTGGAATTTTAACACAATATGGCTCTCCTTGGCATCTGTGTGACATAAATACAAATTGTTTTTCCGTGCACAATTCTCACAGATTCTTTAGCAAGATTCATTAAGAAAAAAAGGATGAAATTACAGGAAGTCTGCCAACTAAAGGGTTTTCCTTCTTCAACTAATATATCCCAAAGTACATGAAAGCAGCCTTTGTCATTTTCTTTTTTAAAAAACTCCTTTTCTCTGATTGGTTAAACCAAAAAATTTCTTTATGGATTTCAAAGGACCTTGCAGATTGATTAGGAGTAAGAAAATAATGTGTGTATTATTTTATAAATGTGTGTATCAATGTGGGATACACCTCCAATTAAAGAAAGAATTGGCTTGCTTTGGATTTAAGGACCAAGACATTATAGGTCTGTAGGTCTGAGCACCGATAATTGGCAGTATATCTTTGATATTCTAGTATTTTAGTAATCTAGGTTTCAGATATGTAATTTTAAGGATCACCTCTTTGGAGAGAAGCTGGCTGTTAATATTTTTGCAAAAAATGTAAAATACAAGGAATATTAATTCTGTATAGATTTCTAAACCTCACTATATTCTATGTAATATACTTTCTAGAGAATTTTAAACAATCTTTATTTCTCTAGGGTTCTGCACCATTTTTTGTCAGTGCTACAGCTGGTACCACCGTTTTGGGAGCATTTGATCCTTTGAATGAGATAGCTGACATATGTGAAAAACATAATCTTTGGCTACATGTTGATGTAAGTTAATTTTAATAGGAGTGGACTTTTTTCATTTATTCACATACTTCTTTTTCTCGCAAAAGTATTTTAACAAATTAGGATGCTGAAAAAGTTGGGATAATATTTTCTGGTTAAATTAATGGAGTTCTGAAAACATAATTCTATTTGTCTGTTTTTTTGTAAAAACTCTCTTCTCCCCAAGAATTGAGAGCACTGTTTTGGTGGAAAGATAATGTCTTTAGGTAAAGTTGTCCAATGTGTAAAATTTTCCATCCCAAGACTAAGAATAAAGCTGCTATACAGTAGGCTTTAGTTTATCTATTTTGTCAGCTTCCTTACTTTAATTAATTATAAATATTTCAGATTTTGTCAAATATTATGTTGGCTTTAGCATTTTTTAAATACAGCCTTTCTAAAATAGACATCTATCAACTATGCTTGAAGACAGAATTCCTTTTGGTAAGAAATTCTGGAGATGCAGTGCTAACTGGAAGATGCCAGTTTACATCCAACTACCTTTATTGCTTTAGTTACTTCTATTAAAATATTCCTTCCTTCCTTCCTTCCTTCCTTCCTTCCTTCCTTCCTTCCTTCCTTCCTTCCTTCCTTCCTTCCTTCCTTCCTTCCTTCCTTTCTTGTTAAGCAGTGGACTTCTTAGATCCCCTACAGATGATTTTCCTAATCTGGGGGATCCCTCTTCCTCCCCTTTTCCTTCTTTCCATCTTTCTCCTTTCTTTCCAAAAGAAAATCATTCCAGGATTTTAGCAACCCCACATTTTCCTGACTCGATGCGCTGCCAATCCTACGTATGGGTAACTTGCTTGATGATTGGGTGTACTGAGTGCCTATTAAAGTTTCTGCAGCCATGGTACCGCCCCTTATGACGTTAACCCTCCAGTCTTTTTCACTCAGTGAAAGGGAGTACTTCACTGTGCCTATTCTCCTTGAGAATTTTTTGTTTTTGTATTCCTGGTTAGCTTTAAATTCCTTTTTTCTGTGCCTTCTGGCTTTATTGTATTTCGGAACGTTTTTTGGAGGCTTCAGCAGTAGCGGTTTTCGGCTTTTGGGACTACATTGCCGATCCGCCATTTTATCCCCTCATCTGGCCCTTCTGAGGCGCGCGCGGTGGTTTCGGCAGAAATAAAACTGCCGAGCCAGCCTACCTTTCTATTTACCGCAAGACAGCTGAGAGGCGCTTTTTGAAGCAGCCCCGTTGTGAAACGTCGGCTGAGATCGCTGCGAGGAGTTCGGAGAGCCGGCCAGGGGGTCTGTGAGTACGGCCGGCAGCATATTACTAGTGGTGGCGTTTTGCCTGTAGCCTGATAAGCGCCTGGGGGTGAGGTTGGTGGTTGCGCTGATCTCGGAGGGTAAGGGATCAGCTTCCACGATTGTTTTCTCTTACCAGCATTGTCTTGGATTCTCAGGGTTACTGCTGAGGACTTGCATACCCTGTTGCTTTTTCCAATGGCGCGGTAACGGTTGCGCTTCCCGCCATTTTCTTTTTCAAATAAGTGTTAACTATTATTGCCTCTCTTATCGGCTTATCATTGTGGAGGATGGGGGTTTGCTCCCTTCAATGGTTTTATTACATTGTGAATTTTTGAAAACTAATTTTTACTTTTTCTCTTTCCCTTCTGAGGTTGGCGTAGTGGTTTCTTTTTCCAGAATTTGTCTTGCGGTCGCCATTTTGCTGAGGCCTCCACAGTCTGTTGCCTAATAAGAGCTGCGTGGTCTGCCAACAAGAATTTGCAGCCACCTTTTTCCTCTCGTCCTTCTGACTACCTGGTGATGCTTTGGCAGGAGGGAAGTGATTAATTGCTGCTCCTTATTATTAATTCATCTGTATATAGTTTTTCTTTAAAAAAAAAAAAAAGGAAATTACAGTAATAATAATTATAATCAAATCAATTTGAAATTTTTGATAATTTATTGCTTATTCAATTCAGGTAGTTGGATATATATATATTTATATATATCTATATAAAAAAGAGAGAAATTTCTGTTAATTGCAGTTTTTTCTGGGGCTCATTCTAAGACTTCTGGGTCATCAAATTTTTTTGTCCTTATTTTGAGGGTTATGGCTGATTCCCCTATGTCTTCAGATATTGAAAGGGAGGCTTCTCCTCGCAGGGCCCCTTCCCCCAAACCGGCTGGTAAAAGGAAGGCCAAAACCAGGGGGGTAGCAAAGGCAGTCACTAAACCTGGTCCAGCCGAGTGTGTTGCAGACAAGCAAGCGGCCAGATTACATAATGCCCTTGAAAAGCAATTTAATAAGGCTCAGGCTGCATTACAGTCTGGAGACGGTTCCCTATCGCAGGATGAGGAGATACTAGTCCAACCGTCTGTTCATCTCATGTCTGATACTACTGAAGCCGGTTTGCCCGCATGGCCACAGGGCGACATTCTTCTTGTCCCTCAAGGACACGATCTGCTCTGTACACAGGGCGATCTGATTATCCAGCCTTCTTCGGTGCAGTTGCCATCTGGGGCTCCAGATCCTGCCGCCGTCCCTTCTACGTCACAGCCTAGACAGATGACTCCTTCTGTTCCAGGTCAAGTGTTTGATTTTCAAGCTATGCTTTCCCAAGCATTTTCCAATTTTCTACAATCTACTTTTCAACATTCTTCAATGCAGTCTTCAACTAGGGCTTCTGCGCCTCAACCTTCTACTTCTAAGGCTGTGTCTACTGCCCAGGGGTTTGAGGCTTCTGATTATGAGGAGGAGTTGTTTGATGACTTTGAGATGTCTGAGGACGACGAGCCTTTGTCTGATAGGCCTCCTTTTCCGGGACTCTTCAAACCGGCCCTTTTTTCTTGGTTGTTGCGTAAGGCCAAGGCGGCCACTAATATGGGCAAGGTCATTGATCCTCCTTCTGCCTCACAAGACCAACCTTCTGTGTCTGATTTATTGTTTAAGATGCCTCAACCTGAACAAGAGTATATTCCCTTTCCGGATTTGTTTGCCCAGGTAATCCAACGCCCTTGGGAAAGGCCTGGATCTTTGGCTGGTCCGTCGGGCCACGACAAGCGCATGTATTGTGCCGCTCCAGACCTTGAATCCTTGCTGCAATTACCATCCATAGATGAACCTGTGGCTAGTCTCGTATCCTCTTCGGTCCTAGCCGGGGAGGTCGGGGATGGACTACGGATGGAGGATAAGTGTGCTGAATTATCATGCAAAAAAACGCACCAGGAAGCGGCATGGGCAATTAGAGCGGCTGCTGCAGCATCTTTTTTTAATAGGGCATCTCTCATTTGGCTTCGCCAATTACGGGATAGGGTGCCCCCAGAGGAGGCAAGGATTCAGCAAGATATCACTAAGTTACTGGCTGCGGCTGAGTTTGCGGCTGACACTTCTTTGGATGCAGCGAAGTTCGCTTCGCGGGCCCTTACGTCTTCTGTTGTCTCTCGTCGTTTATTGTGGCTCAGGCACTGGCGTGCTGACAATAAGTCCAAGTGGAGACTTACTACTGCCCCATTCAAGGGGTCTGCTCTTTTTGGGTCTGCTTTGGATTCTATCCTTGTAGAAGGCCGCGACAAGAGGAAGGTGCTGCCCACGTCCTTTAGAAGACTGGATCGAAGACCTGCTCCTTACGGTTGGCAGTCCTTTCGGGCCGATTCCAATTCCACCGGATCCTATTACAATAGATCCTTCAATCTGGGATATGCTTCCTCGGCGACTAGATCTTCCTTTCATGACCGAGGAAGACGTCAGACCAACTTCCGTAGACCATTCCGTGATTCTGGGTCAAAAGCCTTCCGTCGAGGAAAATGACTTCCTGCCTCTCGTTCCGGTGGGGGGCCATCTTCAGGCATTTTTCCATCAATGGGAGTCCACTTCCACAGATGCCTGGATTCTTCACACTGTCACACAAGGCCTCAAGTTGGAGTTTCTCTCATCCCCACCGGAGCGCTTCCTTCCATGTCCGACTTCAGAGAATCCCCTAAAACGTCATCTCATGTTACTCGAGATTCAACACTTGTTGGAAATACAGGCCATAGAACCGGTCCCCATCAATCAACTTGGAACCGGCTACTATTCAATTTTGTTCCTGGTTCCCAAAGCTTCGGGGGGCTGGAGAGGTATCCTCAACCTCAAGGACCTGAATCCCTTCATTTTGTATCGACGTTTCAAAATGCACTCGCTCCAAACAATTCTTGCTTGCATATGACGGGGAGACCTGATGCAATCTGTGGACATCAAGGAGGCGTACCTTCACATACCCATTCACCTGGACCACAGGCGTTTCCTCCGTTTTGCCTTCGAAGGACGCCATTTTCAATACAGGGCCATGCCGTTTGGACTTTCGTCAGCGCCCCGAACGTTCACGAAAATACTAGCGGCTCTCTCGGTGTCCGTCCGGGAGCGTTCCATCCGCATGGTCTGCTATCTGGACGACGTGTTGATCCTGTCATCATCCAGGATACAAGCAGACAGCGACAGGCAAGTGGTCCTTCAGGCTCTTCGGTGCCATGGCTTTGTACTCAATCTGCCGAAGAGCCAGCTAATTCCTACGTCTCATATTCTTCATCTGGGATCTGTTATAGATTCCCTTCAAGGAATGGTCTTCTTGTCCCCGGACCGGCAAGCGAGTATCAGGGACATGGTGCGACAAGTTCTTCTCCAACAAAAGGTGTCGGTTCTGCTCCTATCCCAGTTGTTGGGAAAGTTCATCTCATGCATTCAGATTGTGCCGTGGGCTTGTCGCCATTTTCGCCTTCTTCAATGGTTCCTTTTGCCTCTCCAGAGGAGGGGACAAGCAGCTTCTCTACTCAAGGTCACTGTTCCGGACGCTGTCAAGAGGTCGCTACACTGGTGGGACTCAAGAGCTCTGCAATGCGGGACTGTTTTTCTGGAACCTCCTCGTGTCACCGTAACGACGGATGCCAGTCTACGCGGTTGGGGAGCCCACCTGGACTCACACTTGGCACAGGGCACCTGGACTCCGTCCGAACTACGACACAGTATCAACTTCTTGGAACTCCGTGCGGTTCGTCTAGCACTTCTGTCTTTCCAG